TGCCATTGGACAGCTGAAGCAAATGCTGCCTTAAGTGTTGGTGCTGGGCCTGATAGTTCCCAAGAGACAGTCTCTAGAACAGGACAACCTGGCTAAACTGCCTGCCACCCCTCCCTCAGCTTTGGAATAGGGTAAAACATTCAGATGTATCCCTTGCCAAGCCTCACAGAAGGAACAGGCAGCATTGCTGGATATTCTGCAACCTCACGCCCCAAATCATGGGGCATTTTCCCTGCATTTGTTTTTCACAAGAGGTCTCTAGAATTGAGGGTAAATGGGAGGAAAGAGCCTCAGTCCTGCTTCTGCTGCTTGGTGTAGTGGGTGCCTCTGATGGGTCAGCATGAGTTGTCATTAATTTCTAAATTATTCATATGTAATCTATTTTTTAATCTTTCTCAGAGTAAATTTTGGGAAAGAAATTGAGTATCAGATAATGCAGGGAGACTGAATTCCTCCCTCTTCCTTGCAGGCACTCCTTCTGTGCAATGCTAACTTTGTCTTTATCTGAGGACAGAACCTCCTACAGGTGTCTAAAGTTGAAGGGAGAACCCAGGCCTCCTTTGCCCAGCAAGGACAGGGAGCATTCTCTGGCCAAGGCCTGTGCAGCTGTGCCTCCTTCTCCCTGTGTCCCAGTGTTTGCTCTCTTCTTCCCAGGAGCCGCTACGTCCAGGTGCGGAAGTGTGCGGCCGAACTCCTCCTGTCCTTGATGGGGAAAATTGGAGTCACGAAGATCGCAGGCACACCCAGGGCTGAGACCCTGGCGCAGGTGGCAGGGAAGCTTGCTCAGGACTGTCACAAGGACACAAGGTAATGATCTTCATTTCACCTCCTAAAACACGAAATCTGTTTGGTGTCTGGCTTTAAAAGGGAAACCCACAAAATTGTAGAAACTACAGGAAATAATATGTTACCTCTCCATGTGGATAAGGGGCATAGAATCACGGAATACGCTGAGTTGGAAGGGACTCATCAGGGTCATCAGGTCCAGCTCCTGGCCATGTGCAGGACACCCCAAGAGACACTCCATGTGCCCAAGAGCATTGTCCAAACCCTTCTTGAGCTCTGTCAGCCTTGGTATTGTGACCAGTGCTCTGGGTTCCCCTGGGAAATGACTGTACTGGGTAACCTGAGGTTGTCCAGCAAGAAGGAGCATTGCCAGCTTCCTGTGACTTGAAGGATTCTTGACTGAGATCAAAAGAGCTCAGATTAGCCAGACTAACAGTTTTGTTTGGCCTTAGGTGCACCACACAAAGCCAAAGCGTTGTCTACTTTTCATCACTGAAGGATCCCAAATACATATTTCTCATTAACTTAAGATTTTCCTAGAAATACTTCAGGGGTCTTTAGCCAATGTATTCAGTCTTTCTAAACCTATTCTGAAGAAATCTATAATGCTGTTATCTGTGGCTGAATGGCATCCAAATTTGTTCTTGAAGAGCACTGCAGGTTCTGAGTGGCAAAATCAACCCAAACCACCAAAATCCCCTTACTTTGATAATTGAATTCTTTTGCATTGATGATTAAATTCCCATTAATAGCTGCCAAGAACACAGGAGCAACTAGCTGCCCCTGTCCATACATATGGTATAGAATAATCAATAGGAAGCTAGAGGTGTTTTGTCCTGGCTTCCCTGCCTGTTAAATGAAGGCAAATTATTGTGCAGTGGCAGCAAGACACTGTTAATGGGCTCTGACAACCAAGTAGATGTGTTTTGCTTGTTCCCTGGGATCCATTGATCCCACAGAAGCACACACACAGTTTCAGAATCAAATGGTATTTTCTGTTGCCCCACGTTCTCCTCTTGCCTCTTGTGTTCAGCTGACAGCACTGTGCAGTGACAAGTGGAGGTAAATGTCTCTCTTTGCTGAGTAGGTAATGCCTTCTTATGCAAGGATTGCACCTGATGAGTTTAAGGTATCAGCCTCTTCTGTTAACACTCTTCCTATGTTTGTTCACTTTTCTTTCTTTCCCTTCCTTTGTTCCTTAGGCATTGTGGACAGGAGATGGTGAAGATGATGCTAAGTCATCCAAAATTTAAAAGGCTTTTGGAGCAATCTGTTTCTACCCGTGACCTGGAAGATATTCTGACTAGAATTAAGAAGAAAGTAAGTGCTTGGCAGGAGAAATGTCTCCTTTGTGCAAGGATTGCCAATGCTTATATGAGATCAAATATACCTAATCAGTCTTTATCTCATTCTCCTGAATCACTTTGCTCCTGGGAATGAGCTGTTAATCCTCAGCTTGTTCATCTGCAGACTACAAAGGGACTGATATTCTTAGGGAAAAAGTGGGGTTTTGAATATTTTGAATATCACAAAGGGGAAAGGGGAAGAGGAGAAAAAGGGTTTTCATTTAAGTGTAACCCCTCACCATGCTCTCCCTACTGTGCCCCCAGTAAAGGAATTAAATGCGAATAGTGCTTCTGAAGATAACAGAGTCTATGCAAAAGACACTGGATGTTGTAGTGCCAGGAAAATTTCCAAATATACAAAAGATGTACATGTCAATCTGGATTACTGCAATTCCTGTCTGTCTGCTGGGAATACTGTCCTGCTGCCAAGCCCTGTGGAGCTAGGAAGCTTGGTAATTCAGCAGCGTCCAGTGGAAAACCATCTGTTTGTTTGTGGGGTTTTTTTATTCTTCTTATCTACATTATAGAAGGGAGCGTGATGTTGTAGAGGAACAGGGAGAGCGAGTGTTGAATCAACTTCCAACACAATGGGCCAGCTCCCAGAGAGTCCAAATTTTTCTGCTGCTTCCTTAAAGAACACTCATTGCCTACCAGTGTGCATTATTCCCATTTCTGCTCAAGACTAATGAAATTGGGATTTTAGAGTGCTGCTCAGTATGGCAGCACCCATAACCTGCCTTGGGCTATTGAGAACAAAGAGTTGGCATCACTGAATCTCTGGTCTGTTGCCTTCTGTAAGCTAGGAAATGTCTCCCTAAGCCTTGGTAGCCGTGATCCTGAGGTTCCAACTTGTGTTTTAAACAGGGAGTTTCCTATTGCATTTTCTAAAGAGTCATGGGGTTTCTTTATGTCTTTGTAGGAGATGGAAAGCCAGAAGGGTGAAGGCCCATCAGTCAAGATGCCGGTGAAGAAGAGCAGCGATTCCTCGAAGAAGCCCCAGGCCACATTGCCTTCTAGTAAACAGTACTGAGCACTTTTGTTAGATGGGACAAAGCACGTGACAAGCTTTACATGTCCTTCCTCAGGAAAATCTTTCTGGGGGAGATGACCCGTGCCAGAGATGGTTTCCATTCCCTACAAATGCTCCATGATAAAAATTGGCTACTTCTGCATTACACTGAACACAGCTTCTCTGGAGAGGTTTCCACAGAAATTGGGCAACAAAAAGACACCCATTGGTTTGTGGCTCAGACGATGCAGTGCACTGGCAAGGGCAGTGTTGTGGAGGCATGGAGAGGGCTGTGTCTCTGCTGCTGGACTTGGGACAAGTAAATTCAATCAGGGTTGGTTTTTTTCATCAGAGAGGAGTCTTTTTCAGATTGGTGTCTTGATGAGAAGTCCCAGTCAGGAAACAAGATGCCATTCCCCAAACAAGCAGCTCCCATGCAAGTTGTTGGGCCTGGCTGATTCATGGCTTTCTTACTCTCAAACTGTACCAAGTTTGAGTAGTAAGTATCAAGGCAATTCCTAAGCGACATTGGTCAACAGGTGTCTCAATGTGGATGTTTTGTTATGATATTCCTGTCCTTCACACTGTTTGCTTGATGGACTGCATGTTGGTTTATTTCCCCCTGTGCTGCAGTCCAAATTTAAGACAGCAATTTGGTCCTTGCTGTCCTTTCTGCCAGGGGCAGAGCTACTTGTACCTGTTCTCCTGTGATAACAGAGGAGAGTTCTTTAGCTCTGTCATGCTCAGTGGTGGCAGAAGAGTGAGCACATGCCTCAGTAGCATAGCTAGGAACTTGGAATGCTCATGGAAGAGACAGGTTGATGCAGGAGAATTGTTCCCTGTGGGTGTGTTAAGCTGTGGATCTAGTCTCTGGGGAAGCAAACATAAAGTTAGCATAGTGCTGGGATGTCTGCCTTCTCTTTTTATCTCTGTTACTGATTTCCTGGATCCTTCAGATATGCCCCTGTTCATCTGTTCAGAGGCATCTGAGCTACTGTTACAGATTGTCATGCCTGCTGTAGAGACACTTCTCCAGAGTGATGAGTTTCCTTACTATAAGACACACATGTCCCCTATGAGGAGGCATTTAAACTTGCAAGTTTAAATTCTCTTTCCCCACAAAGCAATGAGACCTTTGTGCCTGGGAAGCCATCTGAAGGTAGATCAGATACATCTCATCCTTGGTTTTCCTGAGTGAGCACTGGTGAGAATGTTACTCGCAGATTGTCTCCTGTAATGATTGTCATGAGGTCCACGTTGTTTTTCAGAGCCTCATGATTTTCTAGCTGGAAATCACATCATTAGGGATGCTCCTCGAGATGTTTTGCTCTCCATTAACTGAAGGTATTATCACCACCAAGTTCTAATTTGGTTTTATTTTCCAGGGTGAAGTCTACCTCTGAGGGACGCCTCCTCCACCGTGCAAAAGCCCAGGTCACGTTACCTCCAGCTGTGGAAGAAACGGAGCCGCTCCAGAAGCTTTACGATCTCCTGGAAGCCAAGGGGTTTCAGACACGGCTGGAAGGACTGGCATTCCTTCTCGAGCTGTGCCAAACTCGCCCCCAGCTCATCTCCACTAACATTGTCCAAGTATGTAGGGTATCTTCATTGTTCCTTTCCTTTAGCTCCTTCCCCAAGCCTGGAGCAGTGAAGTTCATTCTGTGTGTCTTGGCACTACATCCTGGCAGTTTGGGCCAGGCTGGTCCCTCTTACACAGACAAATTTCATTCAGATCCAGGCTTCAGAACAAGTTCTTTCAGTCCAGCTGTATTTGTTGGGCAGGTGCCTATTGATGCTGTTCATCAAATGATGACAGAGTCTGCTGCTGCTGTAGCTTCTGCTCTCTCCTACTCCCAGCTGGGTTAAGTGAAGGGAATAGCAGCACTGAAAGCATGGCAATTATTCTCTAAATAAAACATGGGTTTGGATGGAGAAGAGAAGTATCAGGCTGGGTTGGATTAAACCCAGATTGTTTTATAGGACACTTCTGTAAACTTCATCTTGTCTTGCACAGGCACAACTCTGGGTTACTCATATCTATCCTTGTCCCTGTTCCTCCTGGGAAAGACGATGCTCAGCCTTCTTGAGGGGTCCTTTTCTTCTCTCTGGTAAAGGAGGAAAATGAATGTGCCTTCCCCTCCCAGAAGCTGCTTTTTCCCTTTCTCCAGTAAATGGTGCCTTATAATGTGGCTGTCAAGGGACTGAACCTGCTCTAATAAGAGCTGTACAGCACATTAAAGTTCAGAAGCCTACATGTTAGTTAGACAAATGGTGTGGTTCCTGGAAGAGTTGATTAGAGCCCTGCACTTCTCCAGACACAGAGATAGAGACAGACTAAAGAAAACATAGATCTCCTCCAGCCATAGTTTTGCATTATCAAAATTGCCCTCAGTACTTGAGGCAAGTGTACAGAAAAATGAGCTCTGTAAATATCTGGTTCCATACTTCTAAAGCAAAGGTCATCTTTTTGAATTAATAAATGAATTAATTTAATTAATTTAAATATTTACAGGTGGAGGGAAACACCATAGGAATTATTCTGTCCCCACCCAAACCGCTTCAAAATAGATGAAAATCTTTCAACCAGCATGAGGTTGTGCAACCACTGCAGTGAGTGGTCCCCAGGAAAACAGTGAAATTGTGCAAGCAAGTGTTGACCTGTCCAAAAGGATCAGATTCATCTTTTACATTGCTGAGTGCACATGTCCACATCCCCTCTTCAAACAAGGACATTGTAATCCAGCTGTCATTTTGTTTGTTTTCTCCACAGATTTTTGATTACTTTGTCCTGAGAATATCTGACAGCCACAAGAGGGTGAAGCAGAAAGCGCTGGACGTGCTGGCAGAAATCATTGGCATCCTGGAAAATGCCTTGAGCCCGGTGATCATCCATTTGGTTGAAGGAATTACAAACAACTTGAACTCAAAGGATCCCGGGGTTCATTCTGCAGCTGTGAAAGCTCTGGAAGAATCTACATTTATAGGCATTAGCTGCCCATTTCCCACCTTCCTTCTTTGGCTTCTTTTTTCAAAGGAGAACTTTTGTTTCAGCAGCTTCATTTCCTTATAAGAAACAGGTAGAAATCCAGCTGTCAATGATGCCTTGTTCCACATGTTGTTTTGCGTGGTGCAAGATGGCTGTAGCAAATAGCTACCTAGGCAAGGGCTGCTGCAAATTCCTTTGCCACACAGATTTATGTCAGCTCTGAAAATGCCGCACTGGGGAATATGCGTGAGAAATGAAGTGCTAGAAAGGCAGGTCTTCCAGGGGAGTTTCCACTTTCTCCACCTCAGCTGCTCTGTGAGCTCATGAACTGCCTGACTCAGTGCCTTTCTCTGTTCCAAGTATGGGGGGCACATTTTTACTCTGGGATGCAAACCCTTTTCACTGCTTACATGTGATTGAACTCTTGAGGTCCCTGATGGGAAATGTTTAATGTAGCTCCTGGTAGAGCAGACAACTTTGGATCTACAATTGTGCAAGGAGAGCTTTTCTTTTGGAATTAAAAACCCTCCCTAGGAGGCTGGAAGGAAATAAGAAAAGGATTCAAGAATCAGCAGAAATTGACTTTATTGTATAAAATATGGGCTTGCCCCTGCCCTTTCCCACCCCACTGTCCTTTCTCCTATGACCTCCGCAGAGTGAGCAGAAATGTGTGTTTCTCTTGTAGATAAAGTATCACTGATGAAAGAGTTTGGCCAGCAATGGAGTCAACTGAGTGGCCAAGCTCTGCTGGACGTCACAGAGCGTATCACAGGTATGGCCAACCCTTCTAAGCCAAGAGGTCTTCCTAGGAAGAATGTTCAGGGAATGCCTGTGAATAGACAGTAGAGTAGCTCCTCCAAATCAGGACCTGCTGAGCTTGTCCCTCCTGCCCCACACCCATGGCAGGTGTATTGGGCAGGTTTTCCTGGCTGCTGCCGTGGTGTGCAGCATCTGAGACGGGGGCAGTGCTCGGCCTCATGGCTGAGCTCTCACTGGGGCATCTCAGAAGCCACCTTCAGGAAAGGGAAGGGCTAAAAATACCCTAGCTGGCTCCTCTCTTGGAAGTTCAGGGGCATCTGTGACCCTTGAGGGAAAGTGGTGGCAAATGCTGTTTCTGGGGATCAGTTTGTTTTGTCCTCACAGAATCCTTGTTTTGCTCTTGGAAGGTTTTGAGGCTGAACCCTGCAGGGCCTGGGGCTCTCAGCTTAGGTCAAAACTCAACACACATATCAGAGGCACAGATTTAGTTAGATGAATTAACAGCATAGAGAAAATGAAGTCTCTTCCACCACAGAGTAATAAATGGCTCCTACACAGCATTTTGCCTGTTTAGAAAATGAGAATGGTCTCAAGGCCATTTCAGCTTTTGATCTCTCAGCCAAATCTGCTGTACAAGGAGCCTGTTGGTAGTCAATTTTTTCCTGTGTTTGATATAGTTCAGTTCAGAAAACGAGCAGAGAGGATGCTTCAGGCACAATGTGAGGAAACACTCATGTTTTGGTTAAATTGCAGTCCCCTGGGTAACAGTTTTCTCTCTCTCTTTCCCCATTTCAGTGTGCATTGTAAGGAAAAATGCCATTAACATTGGGAGGGGAAATGCCATTAAAACGTGGAGATGCTCAGATGCCATGGCAATGGGGTCTGGGTCATTATCTAAGACACCCTGGGGTTTGGAACTGCTGTTTGTTGGAAGCCACAAAAGCATTCTGCCAATGACACCAGCCAGTCACTGATGTTTCTACTCCAAGTGTCAAGCAGCACCCACCTCTGGTGGGCTGGAGTTTTGAAGTGTGGTCTACTACTGCCCTTTGCTGTGTGCCACTGAGCAAAGGGAAGAGCCAGATTAGACTTTTGGCACTTGACATCAAAGGTCACAAAAATGGAATCATCCTTTTTTTAGGAATCCCACATTTGCATCTCTACTGTGCATGTCCACATTTTCAGTGTGGGTTTAGACAACTTCTTCATGGAAATAAAAGGCAATTTGTCATATTCAGGCATTGTTCCTGCAGAAACAGACCATGAAATAGTTTAGTAAAAGTACAAAGTCTGCCAGAGCTACAAGGCCCTGCTTGGAGAAATTAATCCTGGGGGGTTGCTGGTTCTGTTTCTGGGAGGATCAGCTGCTTTGCCCATTTCTGGCTCAAGAGGTTCTGTGTGCTCTTTCTCTGATCTTAGCCAGAGGCAAAACTTAGAAATAGATCCCAGTTTGCATTAAGGTTGGTGGTTAAGAAGCTTGTGTCTCTCTCCCGGCAGTGCTTGTGGAATGGGTTTATCCCAGGAGCCCTGAAGTCGTCCAGCGCTACGCCCTGCCCGTGCTCTGGTCCTTCCTGGGGAACAAGGCACTGCCCGTGCGAAGCGCCAATGTCCGCACTGTGGTCACCAAGCTTGCCTCTGCCCTCTACAAGGTGATGGGCACCAAGCTGAGGAAGTGTGCTGCCAGCCAGCCTCCACATGTGCGGCAAAACCTCTCCAGCATCTTGGGCTGGTGAGGGCCTGATGCTCTCCAGGAAGCTGACGAAGAGCTGACTCAAACACCTCCGGACGTGACTTTTTAGCTGTGCCAACAACGACAAAATACTGAGGAAGGGTTTGCATCCGCCCCCGCTCTCTCCACTGCCCTTCCTAGTCAAGGCATGGGGGGCCTGAAACAACTCCAGATTGAGGACAAGACGAAGGCTGAGCAGGGCTCAGCCTCTCACACAGGTGAGGGGGGATCTGGGCTGCTCTCTGGCAGGAAGAAGGGTCTTGTGCCAGCCTAGAGAGCCTGTGCTCATCCCCAGGGAACAGTTCTGCCCTGCATGTGCCCCCTGCAATGAGCTGTGCTGCTGCCAGTGCCCCGTGCAGCTGTAGGGCTGCTCAGCTGTGGGGCAGGGACAGGAGCAGGAGGCTGCATGTGCAGCTGAGCCATGGCTGCAAAGCCCAGGGCTCTGGGCTCCCTGCTGTCCCAAGCCAGCCCAGAGGCCAGGCTGTTCCTGTGGTAGCTCTGTGCAAGGGGGGCAGGGTTTTCCCCTGGCCTGCCTCAAGTGGCTGCAGGCAGGAGCATGTTTCCCTGTGCAGCTATTTAGAAGTTTGCAGGAATCTGTCCCATGATATATGGAGCTCCAGATGCTTTAGGTTTGCACTGCATTCTCTGTTACACTTTGTGTTTCCATTTTGCAGACCTGACAGGCTCCTCTCATCACCAAGAAATTTTCTCTGCATACTTCATTGTGCTCTTACCAACAAAGTCCTCGCCTCCCATCCAGAAGAGCCCTCTTTCTTCGGAGCTCAGGAAGAAGCTTCTGCATCTCCTAAGATTGATTGAAGAATAGGTTTAATGGCTTAGGCTTTAGAGTTAGGGATGTAGGATATAGTATAGGGATAGTAGTGTAGTATAGGGATATAGTATAGTAGGGATGAAGTGTTCTTATATTATAATGTACATTTGAGGATACATTTTGATTGTAGTTTTTAAATAGTGATGACATATTTTAATTCTTTATATATATTTTTGTAGATACAGTGGGGTTTTTTAATGTTATGTAAGTTAAATTTTTAAAAAAACAAGCATAGAATGTGAGACTAGGACCTGCTAGGTTAGAGGAGATGTGCTGAGGTTATCAGAGTACAGCTCACTTGATGTCCCAGTGACTCACCACGTCCTTTCCTCGCTGGGCCTCTCACCTTTGAGACTGGCTCTGAGAGCAATGGGGGGTAGAAGAAGCACGCAGCTTGTGTTGAAAGAAAACTCACCCCCCCTGCATCCTGCTCCTGGATTGTGCTCTCTGCAGCACGGAGAGACAGCGGGACAGAGCTTCTCTTTGGCTTTTAGTTAGTTTTAGTTAGCTGAGGCAGAGGAGTTCCCTGGACCTTTTTTTCTTTTTCTCCTGGATCTGTGCAAATCTGCTTTGGACTGAAAAACACCCAGACAAACCCCAGGAGCTCAAGCCCTTGGCCCACCGGGGCCTGGGCCTCAGCACTATCCATCACCAAAAGGACTGAGAAGAACCTGAGCAATCCGAACTACACCACATGGAAAAGGACTTTTCTTCCTAGATTCGCCATCCCATCGAACAACGAGACGTTTTATTGTTTAATATTATTCAATTTCTGTTAAATAAACAGCTTTTTCCACTTCTCTCCAAGGCAATTATTTTTCCCAAACCAGTTGGGGGGAGGGGTCATTTGAATTTTTTTCCCTGGGGAAACCCCCATTTGGAGCTTTTTCTCCCAAATTTGCCCTAAACTAGGACAGGGGACAATAGACCCAAAAGATCCTGTATAGTCAAAAGTTTTCTACCTGCATGTAATCTGTGCTCACAAAAGGCCTGAGCAAAGAAACAAAGAGAAGTGTGCCCAAATCCCAAAGCTTTGCCCCTTTGCAAGCTCACACCAACCTGGCTCAGAGGTGTCTTCAATCACAATTTCATAGGTAAGAAGAGCATGTGGGAAAAGATGCACTGCTTTGGAAAAGTCATCTGTATGTATATTTATCCAGGACAGCAGTTCAGCAGTGTTGTTTGCTACTTGTTTGCAGAAGGATGAGTGGATGTGAGGCCAACAACCAGTGATGAGGGTTCCTCAAATCTGTCTGTACTCCTGGGTGCCATTCAGCCCAGAGCTATGGGATAATCCCAAAGTGTATCTTATACATGTTCTGCCTCCAAAAAAACTTTGGCCTCACTTCCTAGAGTCAAAGAAATAGAAGAGTAATAAAATGGGCAATTAAACTTGTCACTTTAGAATGACTCTCCTGCTTTTCAGTGTCAACCGAGATTGTACCTAATGCTCCCACAGCTTGTTACAAACAAGTGTTTGAGATTGCTTAAAAGTTTTCCAGCAAGGTTATTGGTAAAAACCAGATTGAATATGAAACAATAGCTCAACAAAATTCATTGGCAACATTCACACTCTTACTTACAAATCAGTTAAGGCACAACAAGGAAAAAAGCAACCAACAAAATGCAGTCAATGAAACCAGAAATGAACCAAGAACTATCTTTGTGTGTGTGTTTAGGTGTGTTTGACAAAGGAACATAAGGGACAAGGATAAAAAGGAATATGGCCTAAAAGCTTAACAGCACTCAAGCTTAACAGTAGTTAAACTGCAGCCTCCAGGAGTGGGGGTATCGGCCCAGGATCCATTGCTGATGGGCGATCCTGCGAGTGCAGCAAGCGTGAGAGCTCGCTGGCTCTGAGAGGCCCCACTCCGAGGGCGGTTGCTGCTGGCAGCCCCTGTGGTCCAGGAGAGCTCCAAGGGCCTCCTTTGGACCGCTGTTCATGGGCCACAAGAGAGTGGGCCTCAGTCATAAAATGCTTCATCGTGGCTGCACTTTGGGTCAGCACCCGGCCTTTGAAAGTGTGAGAAGAAGGATGTTATGCCATTCAGGCAAGAAAAGTAATTTCCAAGGCTGTTCATAGAAAACCCCAGGAGCTCGTTAGACAGCACAAGTTCCTGGTGGCGCTCAGTGTTTCTGATAAGCTCAAGAGGAGCTGAGCCCAGGGGCTGTTCAGCAAGGCCAAGGACTAACCAGCGTTTCTCAGGTCACAGTGTGGCCTGACAAGGCTGGGGGGATTCACCACCACAATCTGAAGCATGAAGTTTTGATGTAGGCTAAAAAGCCGTGGCCCAGTGGAAGTGGGCTGTTTCCTCAGGCCTGTGGGAGAATCACTGTGCAGATCCTTGTGCTACTGATTCCATCTCTCCCCACTTTTCCAAGTTCTTGGAGGCAAGGTCACTTGGGTTAGACACACAGATCACAAGAAGTGCTCTTCTGTTTTTCTGCACAATGAATTAAAGTCAGATTACATATCCCAAATCTGTTTTCTCTTACTGGCAAATAGACTGATTTGAGGAATTTCTGGAGCAGCAAACTTGTTTCCTCAAGTACTTACTCTGTGAGGCATGGAGCATGATTTTCTGCTAGGAGAGCCCTGCATACTGTTCCACACATCTTTCAGAAAGTCCCAAACCAATTCCAAACACTCTGCCTATAGTAAGTTTTTACACAGGGCTGCAGAAATCCAGGACAATGGCAAGTGAATGTTGGAAGGGTTTTGTCCTGTTCATGTCATAAGAATTCTTAATGATCTAAAGCAATTCCATTCCGATGCAACATGGAATCTGGGTTTTTTCTATTAAACTCTTTCATGATGAGTAACAAACCTTGGCAGCATGAGATGCAAGGCTGACATAGGAAAGCATGAGCTTGTCCTCCACAGTGAGCAGTTTAATTGTCCATTTCATTACTCTAATATTTGTTCCACACTAAGAAGCAAACCCAAGCTTTTCTTGGAGCCAAAACATACACTACAGTCCCTCACAGGATCACCAGGGCGGGCAGGAACAAAGCAGGCAATCTGCTTCATTGTGAACCACAACAGAGCTACATCCCAATGTGGGTTTAAGTAGCACGGTATTATCAAGAGCTCCTTAAATGCTAGCAGAAGCAGCTGGCAGGGCATGCCAGGTGGGGCTAAGGTGAGGCCCAGAGGGTGGGAGGTCTGAGCATCAGCCTTCCAGCCAGGCAGGGGAGGGAGGCCACCTGGATGGAGAGGCTGCAAAGGGCTCTCTTTATGGGAGGTGTCCACCCACTTCTTCCTTGACATTGTGTCTCTAGAAGAAGCTGTAGATCAGATACAAGGGAAGAAATGAGTTAGCTGAACTCCCACCTTAAAAATCAATGCATCCAAAAGGTGAGGCATTCAAGGGTTTTTGAATTATTCAGAAGAACACTTTCTATTTATTTTTCAAGAAATTATAATCACTAGAATTTCTCTGAACTGTATGGAGCTGGCAAGCCAGGAGACAGAGCTTCTACTGCTTTGCTTATGTGCTGCTTGTTGCCCACCGACTACTTTGAAATCCCTTTCCTTCCAAACAGTTAGCAACCCACAGTGGTCTCCAGAATTTGACAATTAAACCTACACAGTAATTGCTTTTAAAAGCTAGTTTTCACAGCCTTCATTTCTGTAACTCCCACCCAGTTCTAGGTTTGGGGTTTTTTGGTTGTTTATATTTTCCTTCATAAAAAAGGAAATACTGCGACACAAACAATGGCTTCATGTGACAGAGGTAAAAGAAGCTTTGCACTCCCCATTGGATGTCCCCTGTATTCAGCGAGCCTACTTCTGTAGGCAAAAAATTGGCCATCCAAATGTTCCACTTTTCTACTTCATTGTTACAGAGGTTTACTTCCTGCATTCATTCCTGCAGACACACCCAAAACAAATGCAAACATGACCTGCCTCAAAACAGTACTGATCATGGCAGTTCCAGAAATTCAAAAAATGGAAATAGAGGCAGGCAGGTCATTTTTAAACACTCTTAAAGAGAACCGTTAGAACTCTGAAAACTAATCATTCTTTACATGGCATCACAGAGGAAAAAATCAAGCGGAAGCCAGACAATAAAAAAAAGTACATATTTCTTAAATCTGAACTATTTTTTCCTGAAGAATGATATGGTCAGTAATAAAAGCGAAACAGATAAGGTTTAATAAAATAGCTCATTTTCCACAAGTAATCAAGCAAAAATGTCACCTGAGCAATACTGAGCAGTAATTCTCCCCAACTGCATTCAGCATTGCAGCTGCATATCAGCAATTAAGGAGTCTTTCCAAAGGGGCTGTACCCAGGATTTGGCAGAACAAACCCTGAGCAAAGGGACCAGGACATCTGATCCCTTTTCCTGCAGCAGCAAAATTATGTCTTCAAGTCTCATCTCTCCTATCAGTAAATGCCCAGAGATGGCAAAGGAACAACAACTGACTTTCATTGAGGCTTTCAACTTGAAAGCATTGGCTGACACAGATGCACCAGAGACTGCATTTTGTCTGGCACAATTCTACTTGTCAGGGATCAGGCAAGGCAGGCAGGGAGGGTCAAGGCAGAAGGCATCTCCTCCTGCAGCCTCAGCCTGCAGCACTGACCCAGGCAGAGAGAGTCGGGGAAGAGATTTGTCATGGTGAACCTGCCATAGGTGGCTTTGGGCTTGTGCTGTCAGAGGATGACAAACTCAGACCCTGCATAGGCTGCATCCATTTGGAAACCTCCTTCTCCTTAATCGGAAATTTCACAAGGACTTTCCCTCAGAGGAGGTTTCCCTATTTCTCCCAGTGCAGAACCAGGCAATGTCCATGAATCTCCTTCAGATCTCAAAAGGTTCAGCTCAGAAAGTGCCCCAAGGAAAGGTTTTCTCCTTTAAGGGCAAGACGAAGG